AGCAGTCAACTGGTCATATTCTGGAGTTCATTGTAAAGGGAGGTTGCCCATATTAGTGGGTTTTGACCTTCTGGTCGTGAGCTACTACACAGTGTGATAATTGGAAGAATGCAGAACATAATCTCTCCTGTGTTTTGAAAGAACTCAGTAGGTACTTAGTTCTTACAGTGGGACATGAAAGGTAGGAAATGGGTCAGGCAGGTTTTCTCTTTCAAAGCATAGATAGAAGAATACCTTAAAATGCTGCTTGTGCAGTCTGGTGTATGACCCAGTTTTCTTTCTTTCTTGGAACTGGTCTGTGTTTTGAAAATAATATGTATCTGTTAGGTGTGAACCTGGAATAGAGAAAAATATCCGGTTCAGTGTGTAAGTGAACTGATTATGTGGAGAGGGCTTGCCTTGTTGGTTCCCATCGTGGTTGTGTTTAAACTTTTTCAAAAGCAGTGAGGATATGGCATAAAAAGGGGGAAGCCTTTTAACTGCTTCACTGAGATCATAAATCTGGCATTTCTGTCCAAGGAGGCACACCAGGAGTTACAGTACTAAGAGTGAGATGTGATGATAATATAGGTAAATAATCAAGCACTTTTGCCATTTGAAAACTGCTTGGGAAAATTTAAAAATCAAGGCACCTACTGCAGTAATTTAGGGGGTTCTCTTTGGTTTTCAATTTGATATATTTGGTTATATCTGTTGAAAATGTTTCAAGAACAACACAGCAGTAGACGTGTGAACACCTTCCCAGCCTTCCTAAAGGAATAGTTTCCTTCCTGCTGTCAAGTCTCTGTAGTAGAAAACGACTCCTAGAAATCATCGAAACGAAGGAAGGCCACACAAAGGAATACAAGCGCAGAGTATGAATTCTCTCTTCTCCCAGAACAGCCCTGGTTACAGCACTAGGCCCACAAGCTGGTCTACGCTGGGACCATGTTTGCTCCTAGATAGTTATACTGGGGTCACAGCTGACAGGAAAGACTCAGAAGCAGGGGGCCTGGGGACAGCCGTTCGTGACGTGTGTCGGGCGTCATCTCACATCTCAGGTTCTCTTTGGACTGCCAGTGAGGTGGACGGGGCTCCAGGGACGTGGGGCAGTGCCCAGGCTTGCTCTGCCTGCAGCAGACCGGGCTGCTTCTGTTCTGTCACTGTGGTGTTAGAGCACGGCCCGTTCTTGTGTCGCTGTGCGCTGACCTCAGTGTGCCTGCCTTCTCCTCAGACTGGGATCAGATCCAGACGATAGACTCCTTGCTCAGGAAAGGTGGCTTTAAGGCTCCAATTACCAGTGAATTCAGAAAAACCATCAAACTCACCAGGTAAGCCACTGTCTTATTTTCCTTGTCATTTTAATTCACTTGGGGTTGGACGGAGGATACTTTTGACAGACAGGGGAAGAGAAAAATTTTCTCTGTTAAAGTCTCTAAACCGAAGAAGTATGGGTGAGGTTGAAGCTCTGAGGAAGCAGTGGCAGCAAAGGCAGAGACTCCCCAGCATCCTGGGCGTGTCCACGGCTAAGCTGTAGCACAGTGGGAGCAGAGTAGCCGCTGAGCAGGTCGTGGGTGTCTTTGTCAGACCCACTTGCTGGGAGGCTGAGCGGGAAGGCTGAAGGCAGGAGAAAAGGCTCTCGGTACAGAAGTCCAGGGTCAGTTGAAGTCATCACATGTAGTCAGGTGGCCTGTTGACGGAATAGTTCCAAGGAAACGCCTCTGCCTGTTTGCGGCTAATACTTCTACGGGGAGGCTGCCTAGTGTAGGAAAATATGCACGGACTGGACTCTGAATCCCAGCTCCGCCACTTCCTAGCTGTGTGACCTGGGCCGGTTTTTCCACCTCTCAGAGCAGAAAGAAAAAAATTTCCTGTCTGTAAGAGGTGAATGATAATGCCGTGGGGTTGTTTCAGGGTGTGGTAAGGTAACGTATGAAGAAGTTCTAGTCCAGGGCCAGGCAGCATTGTAGTAGGTGGTCAGTAGATGTCAGTCCTCTTCCCATCCCTACTGAACTCGGAAACACTGAAAGGTTTAGCTTCTGTGGGGTTTCTGTGGACCTCTGTTGGCCCATTCATCTGTAAAATGCTGAATAATCAATATCGTAACCTCACAGGTCTATTTTGAAGATAACCCCGTGTTTTTGAAATGCTTTGGATTCCAAAAAAAGAAAAATCTTCAAATACAAAGCATTATTATTATCATTATTATTATAATTTATTTGAACAGCCATTTCCCTGTCAAAATTCAGGAATAATCACCTTGCAGTGGAGGAGTGATTACAGTGGGAAAGAGATGGCTCTGGGTAAGGATTGTCACACCCAGCTCCTGTGGTCTGTAGTAGGCTCCATAGGTTTGTAACACCCCATGCTTCGCATCCTGACTCATGGCTCTTTCCAGAGCAAGGCCAAAGTGCTATGAATTCTGTTCTGATGACCCTGTGATATGATATGGCATATTCATCTGGAAAGTGAGACCCATCCTCTATAGCCCCAGGATCTTTTAACCTGCTTCGTCAGAATTTGACCCAGAATTAGGTATCTGTGCCCCTTTTAGTTTATAAATAACTTGTTTGTTGCTTTTCTGCAAGTTGAGGTTGCATTTCTGTCAAATTTATCACATTTTAACCTGAAAGTAGATATGCGTTTTACACTGGGCATTGGTGCAGCCATCTTCCAGTCTGCTACCCATGTAATTTGACCTTGAAATTCTTCATCCAGACCCTAGTAGCAGATTGCTTAAGAGCAGCCTGGTGATAAGCATATGAAGTGTTTAAAGGTGGGATGTGCAGAAAACAGATCTTCAGGGGTGAATTGTGAGTGTGCTTTTCCATCTCGTTCATTTGTAATAACAACACTGTTCTCTTGTGCTGTCGTCTTTCATTCTCTGTAAGTAAGATTGCTCTTGGTCTTCCATTTTATTCTTTCAAAATGTGGAATAAGCTTTTGGTTTTCTCTGCCGCGTGACTACAAAATGAAGTGTCTGGGGTTCCTAATACCCTTTCCTGTTTCCTTACACAGGTACCGAAGTGAGAAGGTGACAATCAGTTATGCAGAATATATTGCTTCTCGACAGCACTGTTTCCAGAATGGCGCTCTCCATGCCCCGCCCCTCTACAATCATTACTCCTGACACACGGCTGCATGACCAGTCCCACACCCCCGTGGCCACCAATGGCTATGACATCATTGGAGCAGATGCCTCCTCTTCCTGGTCCAGTTACTTTTATTACTGCACCATTTTATGATGCTAGCTTCCGTTGCCAAGTCTGCCTCCAGCTGACTGAGGGGGGCGGGGTTACATCGAATGAAACAGAACTTGAGGGGCCCAAGCCTTATCTCAGCCTTTCCTCAGTATGGGGTTCCGTTGGATTGGGGCTCCTCCATGACTAGTGAGAATTCCGTGTGGGTTCAGAAGACCTTGGCTGCAGGTGCCGCTGGTGATTTGCTGCCTGTGTGTTGGCCACTCAGTGGAAGCTGGAATTGATGGTCCGTGAAGGCTTAGCCCACACACACCCCTGCAGCCTCCCCAGATCGAGTAGGTGTATTCCCCTGGCAGTCTGGGCAACGGAGACCAACAAGAAACGTTTTTAGGTTGTTTTAAATTCCTTTTTTTAAACTTCCAGTGTATAGCATACCACGAGTTGATCTCAACCTCCATGCTTCGTAAGTGGACGCCATGTTAGGGTCGACCGTGGGCACCATGAGTCGTTTGCGGCTCCTGGACAGAGACCCACCTCAAGATCGGAAGCCCTTTGGATGGCGTTGCAGATCTCATTGCTCAGTTAGCCTCAAAGGTTTTAATTCTCATCCCACTATCAGTTGGATTTTCTGGCACTCTTCCTGCATTGAGTCTCCTGGTATTGAACAGAGCGCTGTGGTGTAGCCTGCAGAGGAATGGACTGGGATGCCCGCGGGAGGTCCTGACGGCATCGCTGCGTGCAGTGTCGAGGGAGACCTCTTCCTTACCACCCGGCTACCTCACTCCTCTACTGGTGGCAGTGCCTATAGCTGGATCTAGGTTCTCAGAGGGCAGAGGTGTTCAGACAAGCACTTGGGTCAGGCTCTAGAAGGGCACGTCGGCATAGGAGAGAATCCAGGGTCTCTAAGCTGTTTTTCTGTTCAGGCAAACATCCTGAGAGACCTTTAAGCAGAGGAGTTCCTTTTTCTAGTTTGCCTGTAGAAGTGGGAAAACTGTTGCTGTTACAGTCCTTACAGGACTTTAGAACAAAGCTGTGTCATTAAACAAGGTGAATCTTTATCTTGCCTAACATGCCGGGAATCTTCACCCCACCATGGCAGAGTTCCAAATAGCTCATTTTATTCTAGGTCATTCATACTTTCATGTGGCATATTTCCCTTTCTCGTTGTTGCTGATTCCAAATACCTGTCAGCAAGTTTCTCCTCCCTCTTGCCTGTTCTTCACTCATATGGTGGCAAAGTTCATAGAAGCTGGGCACTTGGAAGACGCTTTGAAAACACAGTCACAGAGGCACTGCTGAAATGATTCACAGGAAGAGGTGGCCACTTGGAAGAAAGGACCCTACGGGTGATACACTGGTTTTCAACAACGTGTTTAGAGAACTCTTGACGCAGATTGGGTGTCAACCCAGTGAACACAATGTTTTGATTTAATTTATTTTTAATGTTTATGTGGTAGTGGTGTGGCTTTCCGAAAATGGGCAGATGTTCAAGTCAAAGGGTCTTTGGAGTTTGCTTCTGCCAGGAACGGGGTAGGGGGAGCAGAGGCACAATCTGAGGAACGACACACGTGCCATTCTAGGCGTAGTTGTCTCGTTTCTTGAAGAGATGGGTAAGGGTGAGCAGGTGAGCTCGGCACCGTCCTCTGCTGTTGGCGAGGGTGTGGAACGGGCAAGGGAAGCGCCGGCTGACGTCTGGATGCGTGGGCTGGGCTCCTGCATGCCGCCGCCTTTCCCTCGCAGTGTTCTTGAAAACAGGCTCCCGAAGAGGAAGGGATTGTTTCGTGATTTCCTGCTGCTGAGAATAATAAATGTCTTGTTGCAAATAAATGTGACGGCAGTTACTCTTAGGTGCCATGGATCGATGTCAGGGTGGTCAGCAGCTCTGGACTAAACCGCCCACCTCCAATTTGTACAACAGTATTGATACATAGGGCTACATTCATTCCTGTTCAAGTCTTCTATGTTGAAAGTTGTGTTTAATTTCTAAAGTTTAAAAAAAGCAAAAAAAATGGTGCTAAACTTTCACCCCTGAGCACGCTCAGTGAGACTGGTCATGCAAGCATTTTCAGTGCCATGCTCTTTCAAGCCTATTTTTTCTCGTAGAAATGTTGCCCTATTTGTCTTCCCCAACGTATAGTATGTTTTTTATTTTATTGAGGGTGGGGTAGGATACCTGCCATTTAAGAAAATGAACAGATTTTAAAACCCAGGAAATGGGGGGGGGGGGAATCAGTGCACAAGAATCGGGCTCCTGAAGCCCAGCACCACACTGACGAGGGCTCCGTGGGCTCTTCACTTTCTGGAGTGAAGAAGCCTGACTCCCTGCACATTCCCTCACGCCCCCATCCAAGCCCAGCAGTGGAGATGCTCGAGGTCCTCTTGCCTTGGCGAGGGGACTCAGGAGTCGACCGAGGAAAACTGTTTGGCCCCGTGAGGAATGGCACTGTCAGTGTCTGTCCCGAACGGAGCCTAGTCAGGAAGTGGTCTGGAAGTATACGGTCAAGGTCACCTCCTGAAGATGTATGGCAGGTGGCTCTCAGGAAAAATACTAAGTCTGGATCATCCACGTGGCAGCTTTGCGTAGGGAGATGACAGCTCCGAACTGGAACTGACCTGCCTTCCACGTGCTTGACCACAGCAGTGATGAGGGCGGCCAGTCCACGTAGTGGGAGTGGTGGGTTTAAAGAGAAGGGAAGGTTTTTCTGCTCGGTGTTTCCTTTGTCCTTGGGCTGCTCAAGCTGAACAGTAACCACTGTTTTCAAGGAACCAGCCCCACCTTGGCTGGTTTGGTTTGGAGTTCGTTTCATCCCTAGCTGTGAGTGCCTTTTGGTCTGGAAGGTTGGCTTGTCTCAATACCCACAGCTAGGACATTCTCTGTAATTTCGAATTGTCCTTGTTCTCCACTAACTAAAAGAGAATGTCTGATCACTAGAGTTCGTCGGTGTTGGATTGTTTCCACTGTGAGGTTCTTAAACTTTTTCGCTTCATGATATTAAAAAGCAACTCATGTTAGAGACCCTTTCAACATGAAAGGTTTGTAGTTGAGACATTACATATATTTTATTGTTTATAATAAATATCATCTGTACAAAAGTCCTGGGTGTTAATTTTAATATTTGCACAAGATCTGTTTTCCATGATATGTTAACACCTAAAATTTCACTAACTGTTGATGTTATTTTCTATTGAGATTCTGAAGCCTAGGGAGCTATTTGTTCTTTTTGTTTATTTTCATTATTTCCCTGAAGCAAGAGACTTTGTATGGCCTTCAGTGCAAAGACTTTAGACCAATTCTTTGTATTACACTTGGTTGCCTCTTGGCTATATAACTTCTGAGTGCAAATCATTGAACTCTTTAACAAAGTATTGTAGAGAATAAATCATAATGGGTAAAAATTGTTCTTTGTCTTGCCTCTTTTTTTTGAATAGTAGTAATAGTCATTTTATTATTATTTTAGTCATTAAAAATTTTTTTTAAAATATTTATTTATTTTTGGCTGCGTTGGGTCTTCATTGCTGCGTGAGGGCTTTTCTCTAGTTGCGGCACACGGGCTTCTCATTGCGGTGGCTTCTCCCGTTGTGGAGCACAGGCTCCAGGAGCGTGGGCCTCAGCACTTGTGGACATGGGCTCCAGAGCGCAGGCTCAGTAGTTGTGGCGCCGAGGCTTAGCTGCTCCGTGGCACGTGGGATCCTCCCGGACCAGGGCTGGAACCCATGTCCCCTGCACTGGCAGGCAGAGTCCCAACCACTGTGCCACCAGGGAAGCCCCTAGTCATTTTATTTTTAAAGACAGCCAACCAGATCATATTTATTCAGCCTGCATGTTTTTGTGTGGTTTTCATGATACCCAATAACCTTGCACTTTTATTATTTTTTTAATGTAATCCCATTACATAAAAATGCCATTGGTTTTTTTGAGCCAACTTTTCTGAACTAAGGTTTGTGAACCCTTTAAAATTTGGATTTTTCTAGAAAGAAGGTTCATAGTTCTCATTAGGTTCTCCAGTGAAACTGACCTTGCCCAGAAAGCTACAACCTGAACTCGGGGGTGGGGGGATGCTCAAATTTAAGATGTCATTTTGGTGAGGTTAACCCAAAGACCCTGGGACGTTGGTGTGGTCTGACCTAAAGGAAAATGTTTCTTGCTTTTGGATGGCCCAGAAAGGATGAGGTGTGTTTGGAGAAAATGGCAAGGAATAATTTTTCAAACCTTACAAACATCCATATGCTGATATTGTCAGTCTTGGTTTAAATTTTTATTTGCAAGGATGTAAAAATTTTTTTTAACATACCCAGTTCTGAAGCCCTTACAACTTGGCCACAGGTAAACGCTGTCAGGGTTAGATGATAATTTTGGAAATAGATCACAACAACTGGTTAAACACAGACTTTGATAATAACTCTGGGGTGTGTGAGAGGAATTCTGTTCCTTCAAGAGAAAATTATAGTTCTAGAGATTAGTATTCCATATTTGCAGTTAAACAGCATGGAATTCCATTTTTTCTGTTTGTTTTTGGTGGTGGTAAAATATATATAACACAAAATTTGCCATTTTAAACTCATTCTGTTGTCTGAAACGTGAACTAAGCCATGTGGTCAGAGATCGGTGGTTCTTGTGAGACTGAGGGTGGAGGAAGTGGTGTAAAGCTGCTTCCAGATCAATCTAGGGTCTGTGACCTTGGCTTGAATATCTGCCTTTGAAAGGCACTCGCTGGGCTGGTTGAAGAACTTGACCCTGAGCCAATACAGTATAAAGAACCATAGTAGCTCTTGAGGAGCATAATGACCTCTTTCTCTGTATCCTTCCATATCTCTCATACCCCTTGCCACTTTCTGTCTTTTATGATGGAAAATAAGTCCAGATCTTGCATCAACTGCTCTTAGTGAGCTCCTTTTGGGGACAGCTCTAGGACTGATTCATCTTTTTAACCTCAGGGCTTTGCACTTAAGTATTTATGATGGTTTTCCTGAATGAAAATGTCGACAAACCAACCTATGAAACATCATTATGTGTTATTTGTTATTCTCCTTTCTTCTCTCTTCACCTGTTGACTTCTCTCCTGCTGTGTGTGTTGGGTATCCGGCTAACCCTGGGGGCAGCCCATGGTAAGTCCAGTAAGTAGTAGTTGCTCTGTAAAGCCCTGTTGGATGGACAGATGAGAGAAAGGGGCCTACGCTGAGTTCAGGACCATTTCCCACACCCAGCTGCTGCATGTCCCCAGACTCCTCGGGACATCGGTCCACAGCTGTAATGAACTGTGTAGGAAATCCCTTCAAGGCGGTAATAAGCTCTAACAATACTATATAACCTGCCATTAATTCACCGGATACATTTCTTCTGGAAATACAGATACAAGGCAAATTAATTTTGTGAAAATTATATTTTAAATCAAAGGAATACAGGTACATATTTTCGTCTGGTAATATTCTCATTCATTTTCTGTTAACAGAGTTCACATGATACCTAAACGTTGTTCACTCCGGAGCCAAGTAGTGCACTGTGATTATTTCCTTCATTGTACAGCCATCTGTTTTCTCTCAAGTTGGAAACTTTTTCATTTGCTTACTTATCTTTTTTTTTCTGCGGTACGCGGGCCTCTCACTGTTGTGGCCTCTCCTGTTGTGGAGCACAGGCTCTGGAGGCACAGGCTCAGTGGCCATGGCTCACGGGCCCAGCCGCTCCACGGCATGTGGGATCCTCCCAGACCGGGGCACGAACCCGTGTCCCCTGCATCGGCAGGCGGACTCTCAACCACTGCACCACCAGGGAAGCCCCTCTTTTTTTAAAATTTATTTATTTATTTATTTATTTTTGGCTGCATTGGGTCTTCGTTGCTGCCGGCGGACTTTCTCTAGTTGCAGTGAGCAGGGTCTACTCTTCGTTGCAGGTGTGCAGGGCTTCTCGCTGCGGTGGCTTCTCTTCTTGTGGAGCATGGGCTCTAGGCACGCGGGCTTCAGTAGTTGTGGCACGCAGGCTCAGTAGTTGTGGCTCATGGCCTCTAGAGCGCAGGCTCAGTAGTTGTGGTGCACGGGCTTAGTTGATCCGCGGCATGTGGGATCTTTCCGGACCAGGGATCCTAGGGATTGAACCCGTGTCCCCTGCATTGTCAGGCGGATTCTTAACCACTACGCCACCAGGAAAGCCCCTGCTTACTTTTCTAAGTGTCATCCAAATGTTCCAAACAGGCCTCTCAATATCACTATCCACATGTTGAGAAGTATTGGAAAAATCCCACTACAAATCAAACATTTTAAATGCTTAAGGCATTGTAAGAAATTAATTACACTGTATGTTTTCGGAGTCACCTACCCAGCTTCCCATCAACGACAGTTCCTTGGGTCGGTCAGCGCGTTACTGCATCTCACCTAATCCTTCCCTACGCCCTGGGAAGCAGGTATCCTCATCCACACTTCACCGGTGAGTTAGCTGAGGCTCAGAAAGGCCAAGTGACCAGTCTCCACGACGCGCGGCGAAGGGCGTACTGGAGAAGAGAAGGACGGTTTCTCCGGAAGCGACCAGCAAAAGATGCCCCTCAGCCCTCCGGGAACCCCCGCGACCCCGCTGCTCTGGCCTGTCTGCTTCCTTAAGGCAAGCTCAAAGACGCTGCAAGTCCCTCGGCCCCGCCCACCCCGTCGGGGTCCCGCCCACCCACCGAGGTCCCGCCCACCACTGTGACCCGCCCATTCCCCAATGGAGCCCCGCCCCGTCTCCAAGACCACGCCCCTTCCTGGCCGCGGCTCAGCGCTTCCGCTTCCGGCGGTGTGGGCTGCGGTGCGCGGCAAGACGATGGCGGCTGGTGGCAGTGATCTGCGGGCTGGCGACGTAGAGGAGGACGCCTCACAGCTCATCTTTCCCAAAGGTGCGGCCTGGGGCTGCCGGACTGCCCCCGTGGTCCTGCGTGGTCGCCGCAGGCCTGGGCAGGCGCGGCGAAGGGCAGGGAGGAGGGGGATGCGGGCCGGCAGGGCAAGGTGCCGCGGAAGCGGGCAGCCGGAGTCCACGCCTGCAGCCCTGGAGCCGTCGGCGCCGAACTCCACACTGCCCCTGAGCGGCCTCTTGCTCTTGTTTAAGTAGTTGTTTTATCCGATAAGCTGTGAAGTGCTGGAGGGATGTGTCAAAGATAAAGCTGGCACTAAAGGGGAAAGGACAGATTTTAATCAGTAATATACTATTGCAATAGGACAGAGAGTCAAGCGTGGACTCATCTAAACTTCGATCTGTAGAGGTGACTGGGCATATTAAAGAGAGAATGAAGGAATAAGGAGCGGAGTGAGCGGGGCCTCAGTAGGGTCGGGGAAGTGAAAAATTACGAAAAGCGGGAAGCGGGGGGTTGGTCCATTTGAAACCCCTTTGGATTTGTTAACTGGCGTTTAACTCCTACCCTCCCACACCCCTCACTCAGGGCTGGGAGACAGGGGCCCTGTCTTCAAGTGTTGGCTGGAACAAACAGTAAGTTATTTTGGCAGCCTTCAGTTTTCATAAACAGCCACTGTAAAGAGCTAGAGTCATCCCAGGGATGCGGCCTGGAGCTATTAGAAATCTTGTTAGTGTTTTAAATGCATTTATTTTATTTTTATTTATTTTTGGCTGCATTGGGTCTTCGTTGCTGCACGTGGGCTTTCTCTAGCTGTGGCGAGCGGAGGCTGCTCTTCGTTGCAGTGCGCGGGCTTCTCATTGCGTTGGCTTCTCGTTGCGGAGCACGGGCTCTAGGCGCGCGGGCTCAAGAGCTGTGGCACACGGGCTTAGTTACTCCGCGGCATGTGGGATCTTCCCAGACCAGGGATCGAACCCGTGTCCCCTGCATAGGCAGTCGGATTCTTAACCACTGAACCATCAGGGAAGACTTCGTCAAGTTTCTGTGGACCAAAGTTGAGTCCTTGGGGAGAAGAGGGCGACAGGAAAGAGCCTGGAGTTTGGTCAGGGAGAGAATCTTTGTCAGATGGCTGGGAGTAAAGCACATTTTGCTATCAGAGAACTTCCTCTTTGCAATGTGATGTGCTTAATTTGTAATTTAAAAACCCAAAATAAGTAGAAAGCTTAAGATTTTAAAGTATCATATCTTACAGGTACTGGAAAACACAAAATAAGTGGGGGAAGCCTTAACATTACCCTCCTTTTAAAAAAAATTACTATATCCCCAGTAAAACATGAAATTCCACACCTTTTCACCCAGAGGAAACGACCGTAAATAGTTTAGTGCTTATGCTTCCAAACTGTGCTCATTTATAAATATATACTTATACATATACACTTTATTCTTTGCAAAAATAGAATTATGCTATAGAAATCATAACAGCTTTTTAAAAATTTGATGATACATTGTGTAGAACTGTTCTATTCTTTGAAAGGGGTAGGTAGTACTTAGTGGTTGTACCATAATACTATTTATCTGTTGATAGACATATAGGTTGCTTCTAGTATTGTATTTTATAGACTCAAGGTGTAATACTCCCATAGGATAGCTTCATGGAAGTTTTGGGCATAATGGAAATAAATGTTTGTTTTCTTTTTTACGGTGTAATAACTAAGAGGGAGATGGTTTTCTTAATTTCATGATAAATTAAACCAGTTTTTCATATTTAGGTTTTGTCTAGGTACTTTTTATTCAGGTTTTTGTTTGTTTATTTGTTTTTTAAATGCTCTACAGTTAGAAATTCCCTGGAAGTCCAGTGGCTAGGACTCGGCGCTCTCACTGCCAGGGGCCCCGAGTTCAATCCCTGGTCGGGGAACTAAGATCCCACAAGACACGCGGCATGGCAAAAAAAAAAAAAAACCTGAAAAATACTGTACAGTTGTGGGATATGAAGCCTCTGGATTTCTGCAGGGACAGAGACTTGCTGATAGTCTCAAAGGCAAAAGGAACGTTTAGAAGCTGACTTTTGGAGGAATATTTTCAGCTGACATTTATGCTTCTCACAAATAGAGTTTGAAACAGCTGAGACACTTCTAAATTCAGAAGTTCATATGCTTCTGGAGCATCGAAAGCAACAAAATGAGAGTGCAGAGGATGAACAGGAACTTTCTGAGGTCTTCATGAAGACTTTAAACTACACAGCCCGTTTCAGTCGTTTCAAAAACAGAGAGACCATTGCCAGTGTACGTAGGTGAGTGCTGAAAGAAAGTTTTATTAATCCAGACTATTAGACATCTGCACATAGAATGCTGTCGCCGCCTCCCCCGCTCCTCCCCGCCACCCCGTGGGCATCATCTGTACGATTAATGTAAGTAAAATAATGTCTTCGTCAAAATTTTGAAATAGCTTATATGGTCAAAACCCTCCTTGGCCACCTTTTGCTGTACCCCAAATCCCAGTTACCTCCCTGCAGAGTGACTACTGTCAGAAGTTTGTTGTTAGCCCTGCAGAGCGTGTTCCATACATTGGCATACACACCATAAACACACAGCATTATTTTATTTTGCTTTTTTTCTTTTTTTTTAATAAACTGGGCTTATTTATTTATTATTTCCCTGATGTGTCCTAGAGATCTTGCTATGTTAATAAATATAAATCAGGAGCATTCTTTCTGGATCTTTGCTTTACCATTCAAAAGGTGACCGGCTTTTAGCATTTTTTCCTAAGGCATTGCTTCTCAAATTGGTTGGATGTGCTCTGGGAAACAGTGAGGTGCTGGGGTATATAGGAGGCCCCAGGGAAAACAAGAGCTGTTTTAGCATTTCTTTGATTTCTTCGAAGATGAACATTATCTCATGTGAATTAGATAATCATTTGAAGTTCTGATATAATTTGAGCCACTAGAGAAGTCCATTTTTATAAACTGGGTGTCATCAGTGTTACTTGGTGGTATGGTTTAAAACATTTCAGCATTAAAGCAAACAGATACCAGTATATTGTGAAGTAAAACAAATGATATATATATGAACTCTTTTTTCTAATACTTTACTTGTATATATTTATTTTTATTATTATTTATTTTGGCTGCACCACGCGGCATACGAGATATTAGTTTCCCGACCAGGGATCGATCAAACCCCTGCCCTCTGCACTGGGAGCTCACTCAGAGTCTTAACCATTGGACCACTAGGGAAGTCCCTGAATTATTGAAATAAATCATGAGACTTAAATCCTTGCAGTTGCAGAAAGTCATTTGTGCCTATGCCCCCGAGTTGGTTGTGGGTACTTGTTTGCTCTACTCTGGTGAAATGTTTGAGAAGTACTGTCCTAAGGAAAAGCAAGTGGGCAAAAAGATGTATATATGCAAATATTCTTCTGAGAGCTATTAATAATAGTCACAGTTTTAAAAAACCTAAATATTCAACAGTAATTAAATTGTGGTAAATCCATTTGATGGACTAATATATATTTTTTGTTTGTTTGTTTGTTTTTTTCGGTACGCGGGCCTCTCACTGTTGTGGCCTCTCCCGTTGCGGAGCACAGGCTCCGGACGCGCAGGCTCAGCGGCCATGGCTCACGGGCCCAGCCGCTCTGCGGCATGTGGGATCTTCCTGGACTGGGGCACGACCCTGTGTCCCCTGCACCAGCAGGTGGACTCTCAACGACTGCACCACCAGGGAAGCCCTGGACTACTATATCGTCATTGAAAATTATGATAGGAAATGAAATTGAAGGATGTTCACATAATTTAGGTGTGCAGAAAATGAAGAGATAAAGCTGTATATGAAGTATAGCCTGTTCTGAAAAGTGTGGGTGTATGCCTGGGGAAAAGATTACGTACAAAACTGCAAAGCGTTGAACCAAAAAGATGACTTGAATAAGTGAAGGTGGACTTAAACATTCACGAATAAGAGGTCTTAATACTGTAAAAATGTCATTTCTTCTCAAATTAATGTATACATTTAGTGCCATCCTAAATCCTCAAGGTAATTGATATATATTCTCAAATATGCTCGGAACTTTGTAAGTAGGATTTTGGATGACAGTGCATTCATCGTTATACCATCTTGAACATCTGTAATTTGTTTTGTGGCTGTTACTGTTATTCCACTGATAAAGCATAATTCGCGATATAATTCAATTAAGATGAGGTGGTAATAGATCATTATAAATAAACATACAGTGGCTGAGGCAAGGCACCAATCACCTGAATCCTACCAGTGAGTAGCACAGGCTCCCTAAGTGGCGCCAAGAAAAATATATTCTCTGCTGTGAAAAATAAATAATAATAAGTTAATTAACAAATGCCCCCCCCAAAGATCTGAAATTTGTAAGAATGGTCAGAAAAACTTTTTTTTTTTTAAATAAATATATTTATTTATTTTTGACTGTGTTGGGTCTTTGTTGCTGTGCGCAGGCTTTCTCTAGTCGTGGCGAGCAAGGGCTACCCTTCGTTGCGATGCGCGGGCTTCTCATTGCGGTGGCTTCTCGTTGCCGTGCGTGGGCTCAGTAGTTGTGGCTCTTGGGCTCTAGGCACGCAGGCTCAGTAGTTGTGGCACACGGGCTCAGTAGTTATGGCTCACAGGCATAGTTGCTCCGTGGCATGTGGGATCCTCCCGGACCAGGGCTTGAACCCATGTCCCCTACATTGGCAGGCGGATTCTTAACCACTGCGCCACCAGGGAAGCCCCAGAAAAACTTCAAAAGAAAAAGGAAGGGGAGTTTGCCCTACAAGCTGTTAAAATACATTAAAAAGTGACAGTAATGAAAAGAGTGACACTTTGGCCTGACAATAGATGGATGATTGGAGCAGAATAGAAAATTCAGGAACAGATACAAATCCAAATCTATTGTGTTTTATATGAGTCCAGTGTATGGCAAAGATGGTACTGTAAGTTACTGGGAAAATATTTTTAAATGAAATTGTAACTCTGTATACCTTGTACCAAAATAATTTCTGAAGGAATTAAGGATTTAAATGTAAACTATGATGCATAAAAGTGCTATGTGATAACTTGAGTGAATATACCGTTTTGGCTGTAGTTAGCAGGACTTTAAATGAGGGGAAACTTGATGGACTATAGCTGGCTGTAAGCTTTGCAAGGGCGAGGACTTGATTATATTCAATCATTGTAGGCACTAAATAATTTTTAGTTGAGTAAGTAAATGAATTTACATAAATACCTTTAAATAAAGTGCCATAAGTAAAATCTAACTATGAATAAACTGGGAAGAGGATTGATATCCTTAATGTTAAGAGCTCTAACAAATAATTAAGAGATGACACCCAGTTTATAAAAATGGATTTATTAGTCTCTAATGACTTGATTTATGTCAGAACTTCAAATGACTATCTAATTCAAATGAAATAATGTTCATTTTCTAGGAAATCAAAGAAATGCTAAAATAGCTAAGTAGGTTTAAAAAGAATGGGAAACCTGGGACTTCCCTGGTGGTCCAGTGTTAAAGAATCCGCCTTCCAACGCAGGGGACGCGAGTTCGACCCCTGGTCAGGGAACTAAGATCCCACATGCCACGGGGCGGCTAAGCCCACGCGGCACAACTGCTGAGCCCACACGCCGCAACTACTGAGCCCATTTGCCTCAACTAGAGAGAAGCCTGCGTGCTGCAAACTACAGCGCCCGTGCGCCCTGGAGCCTGCGCGCCACAACTAGAGAGAGAAAAACCAGCATGCCACAGCTAGAGAGAAGCCCACATGCTGCAATGAAGAGCCCACGTGCCACAACGAAAGACGCTGCCACGAAGATCCTGTGTGCTACAACGAAGACCTGATGCAGCCAAAAAAAAAAAGAAGAATGGGAAACCTAGTGTAAGAAGTAGGGGAAACAGGCACCATCTTTTATTGCTGGTGGCAGTGTAGTGTATATTGGTAAAGCCCTTTTAGGGCACTGTCTCTCAGAAAGAAGCCATCCAGTTATATCATATCGTATCCTTTGACTGAATAATTCTGCTTCCAGGAATTTATCTTTAAAGTACACAGTAATCAATCAAGTGCACAAAGAAGTATACATTTACAGTGATGTCTAGAATGATGAATAATTGGAAACAACAGAAATGTTCAACAGCAGGAAATTTGATATATAAATTTATGGCACAACCTTTCAGTGCAATGCCATGTTCAAGGTAAAGTTATGTGTGTACTAATATGGAAAACAGCTTCTGTATTGTTGAGTGAAAAAAGGCCAGTTACAGAATAACATTTGTTATAATTCCTTTTGGGGTTTTGTTTGTTTATTTGTTTTTAATTATGTAAAGGGGGGGTGGACTCTCCACGAAAATGTTAACACTGGTTATTTCTGGGTAGAATTTCAGGTTATTTTCCCATGTTGGGGTTTTGTAGGGGTTTTTTTGGTATTTTTTATAAATGAACATGTGTTCATTTTACAACAGATCCCTCCATATAATACATACACTACATTATGAACCTCTGCCTGTGTAACTAAGTTTACAGTATTTTCTTTACAAAATGAAAATAGCTTTATTAGGTGATGAAAAGTTACAAAACAGAATGAGTGAGTTTGTATTCTAAAACATAGAAAGACGTTTGGAATGGCATGCTAAGATGGTAACATTGATTTTGTTTAGGTAGTGACTTTCATTTTTCTGTCTTTATTTTCTCAATTTTGAACAATAACTAATAGGCTTGTAGTCAAGTGGTAAGGACAGGAAATGTTTGTTTCTGAACAGATAATTAAGGTCCTCTCTGAAACCAGATTTACCATGGATGACCTGTTTTAAGAGGTCGATGTGTGAGAATCCAGGATATGATTTGTATTGATGATGTTCTTTTTTACAGTTTGAACTAGAAGTACATTTAAAATAAGATGCAGTTTATACATAGATTTGTACAAAGTAAGATATGCTTGTATTTGTTTATTTTTTAGATACTTTTTTTTTTTTTTTTTTTTGCGGTACACGGGCCTCTCACTGTTGCAGCCTCTCCCGTTGCGGAGCACAGGCTCCGGACGCGCAGCCTCAGCGGCCATGGCTCACGGGCCCAGCCCCTCCGCGGCATGTGGGATCTTCCCGGACCGGGGCACGAACCCGTGTCCCCTGCATCGGCAGGTGGACTCAACCACTGCGCCACCAGGGAAGCCCTTAGATACATTTAAAAGAGAATTTTCTCCAAGTCAAGATGCCTGGTAGATGGGGGACATCTGACATCATGTGTTTGACATAAAATTAATAACAAAGGAAGCAAAGAACAGTGGTAGGAAGAGCAAAGAGCAACAGAATAAATTCTCGGGGGAAAGCTTGTATAGTCCTCGAGGTACATAGCAGTTTCTCAGAAGTTATCATCGCAAGCATTCTCTGCCTTGGTGTGCTCGCCTCGCTTTCACTGTCTCTGCCTGATTTCATTGTAGCTTCCTGTTCTCCAGGAAGAGGAACAGGAAATGATTTGAAAGTGGGATTTTGCAGCAAACCTAACCATAATGGGAAGATTGCAAGTGCTTTATTTTTCCTCTTCCTTGCTAGCTACATTTGATGCCCCTTTTCCTATTCATCATTGTTTGATTTTGTTTGTCTTGATTTTCTTCCCTGTGATCAGCTTGCTGCTCCAGAAGAAGCTTCATAAGTTTGAGTTGGCCTGTTTAGCCAACCTTTGTCCAGAGACTGCTGAGGAGTCCAAGGCTCTGATCCCAAGGTTAGGACTGGTTGTGAAAAGCTCTGTGTGTATTGGATAAATTCTTAGAAGTAGAATTACTGTGTCTAAAAGCTGTGTGCATTTAAAATCTAGATAGATATCACCAGCGTTGAATGAGTGCCTTTGTAATGAGATTGATGGTTTTATAGCACACCGATTGTTGGCAAAAATGTGAAACAGCTGAAACTCTGGTACACTGATGATAGGAGTGCAAATTAGTACGGTCACTTTGGAGAGCATTTTGGCTACATCCAGTAAAGCTAAAGATGAATATACCCCATGACCCCAAAATTCATTCCTGGGTACGTGTCCTAAAAGCAACGCATACGTAGTTTAAAAGAAGACATGTATTCCAGTGTTTATTGCTGCATTGTTAGTGATAGCAAAAACTGGACAACAATCAAGACTAGAGAAATAAATCATTGTATGATCATATAATGTTTATTATATAGCAGTGAAAAAACTAGTGAACTAGGACAACGTGGAATAATGTCAACAAATGCCAAATTGAATTTTGAGTGAAAAAATTGCAGAAGGATACATACAGTATGATGCCATTTCTTTTTTTTTTTTTCTGGTACGCGGGCCTCTCACTGTTGTGGCCTCTCCCATTGTGGAGCACAGGCTCCGGACGCGCAGGCTCAGCAGCCATGGCTCACGGGCCCAGCTCCTCCGCGGCATGTGGGATCTTCCCAGACCGGGGCACGAACCCGTGTCCCCTGCATCGGCAGGCGGACTTTCAACCACTGCACCACCAGGGAAGCCCTACGATGCCATTTCTTATAGTTTAAAACCAGTACTGCATATTGCTTATAGATACTTTTACATATACTATAGCAAATATCAATATAAAAGTACATGTAGGGATGATGAATACCAAATTTAGGATAATGGTTACTTCTGGGGAAGGAAGAAAAGGAATTGGAATAGGGGAGCACACACAGAGCCATCGATTTGTGTCTGTCATATTTATTAAAGAATCAAGGGGAATTCCCTGGCGGTCCAGTGGTTAGGACTCCGAGCTTCCACTGCAGGGGGTCTGGGTTCAGTCCCTGGTTGGGGAACTAAGATCTTGAAGGCCACACAGTGTGGCAAAAAAAAAGGGAATCAAGTGGGGATAACTTTTAAAATGAGCTTATTTTCTATACCTTTTATATGTTTGAAATACTTCATAATGTTTTTTAAAGGAAAGAAGTAAGAGTTGAAATGTAAAGGTGTCAGCGTTTAGGGGTAAGCAGAGAGGTGGGCCAGTGGTGCTTGAAGATTAGCACGCACGAAAGAAGAGGGCGGGGAACACTGTCACTGCGACACTCACTTTTTTTGTTTTCCTTCTTGTAGCCTGGAGGGGCGGTTTGAAGACGAGGAGCTACAGCAGATTCTTGATGACATCCAGACCAAGCGCAGTTTTCAGTATTGATCTCCAGATACCACTGCTGCTGGGAGAGCCACATCACATCCCCAGCACAGCGCCGCTGGCCCAGTATCCAGGGCTGACTTGCACAGAAAATCTATTGCAGAAGACACTTGGGCTTCCTTTGGATAGAACAACCCAGTGCTTGGTCTTGGTTTAGGTTGCTGTTTCAGGCTCGATCGTTGGACCCTGATGGCCAGCGTAACCTTGGAGAGGCCTTGCAGTGGCTGCCTGAGCTTGCCTCTGGGAAGGGTGAGGTGGGGTGATGTGCATCTAAGCCACACTGCTGACACCTCACATCACGGTCTTTGGCCCTTGTGTTATTTTTGATTCCTACTATTTCATGTTTTAATTTCAGTGTGTTCATAGTTTTTGAAGCTATACTAGAACATGTAAAACTGGTATGGGAAACAGTCTCACCTAAATGCAAAAAGAGCAATTAAACGAGACCTGTATCGTTGTTTGAAATTCTTAAAGAGAGGATGGTAGTGCCTTGGCGTCATTGTGCTTAACCAGGAGACAGGGAAGAGGCTGCCGCGAAGAGTAGTTACACCTGAGGGTAACTGCTGAGCGCTGTGGGGCACACAGCCTTGAGATGGACAAGTACTGTGCCTTTCTTCTTGGATTGCTGCACAGCATAGATTTGGAGTAAGTGGTCTTTAAGCACTTACTTTGTCACTGCCACATTCACATTTTTCCTTCCTGGGCCAGATGTGAAGGAGTGAGCACTTCATAGTGTCCTCATACGGGGCATCGGGTCCAAACCTCTGGCCTCCTGCTTAGCAGCAGGTGTTCTGGGATGGAGGAGACGTGGGAGGAAGGCGCCTGCCACTTCCTGAGCCACTACAGTGGCCTCACTCCATCTGAGGCTAGTTGCGGAGAAAACACTTTAATTACTAAACACTGCGGCTCTGAATTTTCTGAAGGGAAATATGCCTGTTTTCTTCACAATTTGGTGATTTTTCTTTGAGCCACTTGTTGGCTCCAAGTGAATTCATGGTCCAGAGAAAAGGCTGGGGAAAGAACAAAGCTGGCTTTAAAAGTCAAGGTTGTTTTATGTCAGCTGCTGACTAAGGCAAAAATAAAATTTCTTTTAATAAAGTCTTTCAGTTTCTGAAATGACATGGTTTCTGAGTCACCAATATTCTCGATCATTATTTGAAGGAAATGTCATTCATACCTCAATTAAAGAAGTATTTGAGGAAATAATCTTTTCATCCTTGGGCAACTTTACTTCTTTGAGACTCAGTGTTCTCAATTGTAAAATGTGGATAATAGTTTCTATTCCACAGATGTTTTTAAAGATTGAATGAGAAAATTACTAAAAAGATCCTATTGGTGTCTGACATACACTATACCCCAGTAAATATTAGCTGTTATTAGTCAGCTTGCTTTGTAGAAATTAGTGCAAGGGGGAATTCCCTGGAGGTCCAGTAGTTAGGACTCTGCGCCTTCACTGCCGAGGGCCCTGGTTCGATTCCTGATCAAGGAACTAAGATCCCACAAGCCATGTGGCACAGCCCCCCAAAAAAAAGAAAAGAAAAAAGAAATTAGTGCAAGGAATTGGTAGCATACCCACTGGTACTGGTATCAGACTGTGAAAACAAACCCAACTGCCTACCCAAAGTCTGCAGAATTATCTTTTAAGAGAGTCAGTTCCATGGTTGGCACCAGGCAATGAAACAAAAAGAACAGGCCTGGATGGCAGAGCCGAGCTGTAATCCAGGCTGCGTGTGCTCGGTGGCAGGAGCAGGGTGGTGCTACCACCTCCACGGGGTGCCTACCTGTGAGCCACCTGGGAGTATTAAACTGTGCAAAGTGCCTGGCATATAGTTAGGCACTAATAAATGGCAGGTAATAAAGCAACTAGAAGCAGTTTAAAACAACAACAACTCATACTGGGGGATTACATGTAAAAGCAGCCTCGTGCCATGTTACAGACTCAAAGCCTGGTCTGTGCCTTCCGGTCAGGGTTCTGTCTAGTCCTGGACAGCAGCTCACTGTCCAGTGAACAGGAGGCCCTGCAAAATCTTTAATCATCTGTGAAACATCGTTAGACTCACTGCACCGTTTGCAAAAGCAGAATTCAAAACAAAGATGTCGTAGGGGCTTCCCTTGTGACGCAGCGGTTAAGAATCCGCCTGCCAATGAAGGGACACGGGTTCGAGCCCTGGTCTGGGAGGATCCCACATGCCACGGAGTGGCTGGGCCCGTGAGCCACAACTACTGAGCCTGCGCGTTTGGAGCCTGTGCTCCACAACGGGAGAGGCCGCGACAGTGAGAGGCCTGTGCACCACGATGAAGAGTAGCCCCCGCTCGCCGCAACTGGAGAAAGCCCTTGCACAGAAACGAAGACCCAACACAGCCAAAAATAAATAAATAAATTTAAAAAAAAAGATGTCATGTTGTCAAAGCCTCACTTCACCAGAAAGCTACATTAACCAGAAAAGCTTTTCTGAAAGCTCTTGTCATCTTGGTTTTATAAAAATGTATTAAACTTGAGTCTTGAAAAAGCATTACTGGATGGGGCTTGAGCACAAGCCATTCTTATTAAAAATTATTGTTTTAAGCTTATTTCTAAAACCATTGAAGCCTACACAAAGACTTCTGTGTGAATAATCATTGCAGCATTATTCATAATAGCCGAAAAGTGGAAACAATTCCCATGTCCACCAGTTAGTGATTTGATCAGCAAAGTCTGATACAGCCATACAGTGGAATACTTCTTAGCAATAAAAAGGAATGAACTAAAAAAACAAAAACCCGAAGCATTGAAGCCCACAGGATATGCCAGTGGGGTGACATTTTTTCAGTTTTTTATTGTGAAAAATTTTAAGCACAGAAAAGCCAAAAGATTAGAGCATTGATCATACCTATGTTTTTCACCTGCATTTAACAGATAATGTTTGTCATATTTGCTTTATTATATTTTTCTAGGAAGCATGTGAAAGCAGACAGCGTTGACACTTCGTTGAAAATTTAAGCATGCATTTTAAAAGTACACTTTCCTCTGTTAAGTACAACTGTTGCACTTAGGAATATTGACAAGAATTTCCTGTTAACTTAATATTCAGTTCAAACTTCTCCTGAGGAGGGTTCTGGGCCAGTAGTCAGTCCCAGTGTTGGTATAATTTAGTATATAAAATCAATCGTCATTAAGGATCTAAACTGACACTTATGAGAAATATTGAAGAAATACATGTGGCTGCTGCCCTCAAGTTGCTGGAGGAAAACACCCGTTTGCAACCCCTAGGTGAAAAGGGGGCCTAGACAGAGTTCAGGCCCTAAACAGTGATCGGTAATGTGTCTGCTTGTGGCTCTCCATGCCTGTTCCTTCAGCAGCAGCAGGAGGGCAGTTTGGGACTAAACAGGCAGAAAGTGTGAGTGGCGACAGCAGGGTGAAGGTAGGTCTGTCTACTGGAATCACGTTCAGACTCGGGTTCTGTGCGCCTCGCTCCCTTTGTGTGGCTCCCAGGGGGTGCTAAGTAGTGAGTGTTGAGTAAATACACTGCCCCCGTTTGCCGAAGGTCAACTTGGAGTGCAGGGAGAACGAAAATGTACCTGAAATGATACAGTTGGAGGAGAGGACTTTGTGAGAAGGGGGGAGGTGGGGAAGCAGCCCAGAAGACACCTGGGAATTCTGGAAGACAAGGCAAAGCTGCCCAACAGAACTTTCTGCAAGGTAGGAATATTCCGTATCTGCACTGCCCAGTGCGGTGGCTGCCTGCAACAGGTAGCCCTGGAGCACTTGAGGCTAGTGTTACTGGATTGAGGAACTGAACTTCAGTAGACAGCAACACAGAAAGAATTGGTCACATAGGCTAGTTTCCATTCAGTCAACTTTCTAGCTGTCTCAATTGGGATAGAGGCATTTACAGAACTGGCTGTGCTTGAGCCTTCTTTGCAAGCAGCTTTTATTTCGAACCCAAGCCCCCTGCACTGGGAGTCTTAACCACCGGACCACCAGGGAAGTCCCATGAACCGTAAATTTTATTTAAGTTTTAAATTTAAAAATTTACATAGTTACATGTAGCTAGTGGCTACTGTAGTGGACAACACAGCTCTTAGCTCCCAACACAAATGTCCTGCAAACCACTGAGCATTACAGTAAGATTGACAGTGCTCACAGGAGGAGCAGTAATAATGGGAGAGCATTCATCCAAATGGGGTCCCCAGAGTTTGGAAGTCTAAAGATGTATATCACTTTCTATGTATCACTGAATCCAATTTTTGTGTATAATACAAATTCTCTTTTTAAAAATCTGCCTCTTTAGTACTCATGCTCAAGGACAAAATTATGAAGGCTGTTTTAAGGAAACATTTGGGAATAGTGAAAAGATGAATGCCTCATCTTGTGGTGAGAACCTCTTTCCTAATTAATTCTGCCTTTTCAGTAGGCTGATAACTTGTACGTTGAATTTAAAATAAAAAACAAAAAACTCCAAGGTTTATTACCTTTTAAGGCTTCTGATATTTATATTTTGTAATTCTACTAATAAATATGGTCCAGGCACAGGATACTCCCGGATTCACAGACTGATGTCCTTTTAAGTTCAGACTAACCTCTACCTCCTGAGCCATATCAACACCAGCCCGTGTCTGCATGTGCCCTAAATACATTCCCCTTGTTAATAGGGAACTTAACAGTTCTCCATATTCAAAGGCAATTGAAATTAGAAGATATTTGACAAGCAATACTTTCTAAACTTAATGATATAAGAAATAAAGACTTGATTACATAAAAATTTTAAATTGTGTAAAATCACTAGAAAGGCAATTGAGAGAAAATTTACAGCAGAGAAGACGAGCAAAGGGTGAAGATGTTTATAAAGTAAAGAGCTTTTAAAAATAAATTTTAAAACCTTAGGACCCCAATTTCAAAAAGGATAAAGCATATAGACACAAGTTACATCCAGTTACCAAATTAATGGGGAAATGTTCACCCTAATTAGTTTTCAAAGGTATCTAAAATGAGGTGATGTTTTTCTCATTAAAAATGTACAAAAGGGGCTTCCCTGGTGGCGCAGTGGTTAAGAATCTGCCTGCCAATGCAGAGGACACGGGTTCGAGCCCTGGTCTGGGAAGATCCCACATGCCACGGAGCAACTACGCCCGTGTACCACAACTACTGAGCCTGCGCTCTAGAGCCCACGAGCCACAACTACCGAGCCTGCAAGCCACAACTACTGAATCCCGTGCTCCGCAACAAGAGAAGCCACCACTCACCGCAACTAGAGAAAGCCTGTGTGCAGCAACAAAGACCCAATGCAGCCAAAAATAAATAAATAAAATAAATTTATAAGAAAAAAATGTACAAAAGAATGCCTTCTATTTACATGTAGTGAGCAACTTCTTTG